AAACTACTCTTTAATTATTTTATATGTTTTTCCATTACGTGATATATAATTTTTAATAATAAAAAATAAAAAAAATTTAAAAGGTAAAAATTCAAATACGTTAGACAAAAACATAATAAAATTAAATTAAAACCTACATTTTGGAAAATTGTTTCAAGATTTATTTTCAATAATATTAATATTTATGTATATGTAATACTGAAATAATAGAATACTAGAATAAGTCATTAAAGTTTAAAATTACAAATAATTTTAAGGGTCGAAAATGCCTCTTTTTACAATTGTGATTGAAAAAGTATATTATAAAATTGCCATTTAAATTTTTCCAAAATTTTCGTCGACAGATTTATTTAACAATAAAATAAATCTATCATGACATAAATCTGTTAATTAAACCTGTGAAATTTACATATGCCGTGTATTTGGTAGCAAACTTTTGAGTTACAACAGATTTGTTTAAGATGGCTGATTTATCTGTCCGATTTAATGTTGACAATAGATTTATATGTTTTTGACTATCGAACGAAGTGGCCGATTTTTTAAAATTACCAGTTTTATATCGTATTAGTTAGATTTTTAAGACCGATTTAAAATTACCTTATCGATTTTTAATGAGTAACAGATATAAATTCTTATGACAGATATGTTTATCCTATTTAAATTTATGGTCAACTTTTATATTTATTTGGTGGCAGATTTTTCAAATTGACATCTTTGACGGTAGACATATCAAAAAATATTAATTACCACATTAAGACACACTTTTGTAGCAGACTTATCTACTCGAATTTTCTGGTTAAGTTCACAAGGATTTCGGTTTATCTTAACTTGGTTATGTTTAAATTATTTTCGGTTCTTATTAATTTTAAATTTTGGTTTAAATCAATTTGTTCTTGATTTAAATTAATATAAACTTCCGGTTAAAACAAAATCAAAATTCGGTTTAAGTTAAGAAGCATACCTCACGTTTTCCAATTAGGTTTACGTTCTCTGTCGTCTTCTTCTTTCTGTTACCTCTCATTCACAAATTTTGAATATACTTTCATGGAGATCTACAACGGTGTCTTCTAAATCATATCGATTGGAGAGTAATGGAACACATGATTGTCGTCTCTGGGAAGTGGAGAGTTGAGAAAACGAAGTGGTTATTTGAAGTAGATAATGATCGAGGTAGCATAATAGTTTCTGCGAATGAGGACACTCGATTTGAAGACTTTGTGAAAATCATATTTGAGGATTATGGAGTTGATTATGCAGAAAACGACTTGGAACTGAGGTACCTTGTTCCGAAGTAGAATCTACACAGTCAAAACTTCAATACACCACATGTGAAAATAGCAAATTAAAGGCAGTTTCATACTTTTTTGGGTCTTCATAAAGTCAAGAACGTTCGGCTATGTGTAGAGTTTAAAGTGAAAAAAATCGTTGGAGAAGGAGCTGGTGAAGATCAGAAACAACTCATACAAGGAGATGACTCATTGTGTGAAGAAGAAGAAGAAGATACAGACGAAGAGGGTGATCGATTCGATTACAGAGATGATTCTGATGGAGCAACATCTGATGATGAAAAGTTTACTATATATGGGTTTCCACCACAGCATGTAGAAGAGGTTCTTGGATCTTGTACAAAGATGATTTATGCAGGAAATACAGAAAGAAGAGAATCTCCAATGAGTATGTCTGATTTGCGCTCATTCAAATTTGATGTGGGGCAGAGTTACGATTCGAAATATGCATTGGAGACACGTTTGAAAATATGTTATGTTGTCCACAAGTTTGATTTTGATGTCATTATATCAACGCGAACACTGCTCTTTGTAAAATGTTGGGTACAAGGATGTACATGGAAGCTAAGAGCTACGTCAATAGGTGACTCTTTCAAGTTTACAGTCCGAGTATATGTAGATGAACACACCTGCTCTGTAACGGAACGCTCATCTCGTTCCCGACAAGCTACTCCTGAGATTCTTGGACTCTTGTACAAAGACTATATTGGTGGGGTTGATCCATCTATTTTGCCACGTCATGTTTCTAGTGCTATGAACATGAGCTTCAGAATCAAGGTTGAATAAACTTATGCTTCAAATACTTTCTTCTCCAGCCGTTACTTCATTTTAAATGGGTTAATGTTTATTGTTTATTGCAGATGGATTACTGGAAATCTCATCGTACACTTATAGTTGCTAGAGATCTCGTAATGGGTTATTCAGAGAGTGGATATAAGGAATTACCTACTTACCTGCACATGATTAAAATGTCAAATCCAGGGACAGTGACTCGACTGGATGTTGATACAAACAACATATTTAAGTATTTATTCCTTGCATTCGGCGCTAGCATTACTGGATTTTTATATATGAGGAAGGTTGTGGTGGTTGATGGAACGTTTTTGCAAGGGAAGTACAAAGGAACGCTTCTGATTGCAACCTCACAAGATGGTAATTTTCAAATCTTTCCCATTGCGTTTGCTGTGGTTGACACAGAGAATGATGAATCATGGACATGGTTTTTCCACCAACTCAGCCGTGTGATCCCCGATGATGAAGGATTGGCGTTAATATCTGACATGAACAAGTCAATAGAGAAAGCTATTGCAGTTGTCTATCCATTGGCAAGCAGGGGAATTTGCACATACCACTTATATAAAAATATCTTGTTACGATACAAAGGGCGTGATTTGTTTGGATTGGTCAAAAAAGCCGCCAACTCTTTTAGGTTAACGGATTTTCAAGCAACCTTCGAGACAATCAAAGAGCTAAACCCATCTTTGGATGCATATCTAGAACGTGCTGATGTACGTAAGTGGGCACGAGCTCGTTTTAAAGGTGATAGATATAACCTCCATACAAGTAACATAGCTGAATCCATAAATCGAGCTTTGTCCGATGCTAAAAGCTTGCCAATTGTTCACTTTCTAGAGTCGATCCGGTTAATGATGACACGCTAGTTTGCAACAAGAAAACATGACGCTGAGTTGATGAAAACCTCTCTTACTCGTGGTGTAGAGAATGTGTTGGAGGTAATATATTTTCTTAAGTTGTGTAATATTATAGACTATTTTCTATTATACTAAGCTTTAAATTTTACAGAGCCGGATACCTATTGCTAATCTACTAAAAGTTCAAGCAATATACATTCACCAGTCACAAGTGACAAGAGTCTCGTCTTTACATGTTGTTAATCTGACCGAGAAGAAATGTTCTTGCCGTAGATTTGATTTGGAGAAGCTACCATGTGCTCATGCTATGGCTGCTGCGGAAGCTAGGAAGATGTCATGTATATTACTTTGTCATCGTTACTATAGGAAGCAATACATGTACAACGCGTATTACACAGGAGTTATGCCCAAAGATGATGCCATTCCAATTCCAGAAGAGCTTGCCAAGAAGATATGTTTACCACCAGAGGTCCGCCAACCACTGGGAAGACCAAAAAAATCAAGACATAAATCCATTTTGGAGAAAGTTGCAATTAAGAAGCGGCCACGGAAGGAACACTCATGCCGAATTTGCAACCAGAGTGGTCATAATTCAACAACATGTCCTCTTAAGTGATGAGTTTTATTTAGTTTGAGACAACATTACGTTCAATTTGTTTAGTGGACTTTGGCTATTTCATTATGGTTCATTAGTTTGTCTTTTCCAGAATTTGTAATGTGTGGTGCAACATTACGTTTAGCTTCTTCATTTAGTAGACTTTGGTCATCATATTTCATTTAATTTGGTGCAACATTACGTTCAGTTTGTTTAGTGGACTTTGGTCATTTCATTATCGTTCATTAGTTTGTCTTTGTCTAGAATTTGTAATAAATATGTTGGGAACAAGTGAAAGAGAAGAGCCACAAGTAAACAAACTAATCATCAACGTTAAACACCCATATTACACATCCGAAAACAAGAGAATACCATCCAAAATAAGCCAAAACCTAGAGTTATACATCCGAGAAAAAGTAAACATAAACAAAGAAAAACATAATACAAGTTATGCTTCCTAATCCTCCATACCCACCTCATCATAAATCTCTGTAGCCATTTTCAATCACATTTCTGGTATGATCTGATCACTTAAGCCTACAAAATTATACCCCTGAGCTAAACATTCAATATATTTGAGAGTGTAAATACCGCAGTCTCATGGGTTTTCATTTTGAGGGATCTTCTTGTGCATACGGAAAGTGAACTGCTTCTCACGCTTTGCTTTCGACTTAGGATTGACCATCTTGTTAAGCAATACAGGAAGCATTTTCGTGAATGGCAAGCACTCCTCTTCCATCTTCTTCTCAGTCATCACAGTTCGAATGCTATCATAAACATGTATTATAGCCTTATGCAGATCAATGTGAAGAGCAACCCAGTGGTTTCTGTTGACGTGGTGGAAGAGGAAGAGAGAGTCAACATCTTTAAGCCACTTCTTACCCGTCACAAATTCAGCTGGGTATTCTCCATTGAAAGCCAAGCTATAATGTTCTGGCAACTCATTTGTCTCATCAAAATTCTTGTAGTCGTTAACCCATGATTTCACAAACCAGCGGCCTAGAAATGCAATTCGAGGAGAGGAATATGGAGACTGGGATTGCATGGAGTGTCTGTGAAACATACGCATTGCTGCGGCCATGTGCTGTGACATTAAAAGAAGACACAATTATAATGGATTTCTTCATAATGGATACACAAACATAAACTTACTGAGTCATGCAACCAGCCATAATTCTCCGTTGGCCAAACTTCTCTTGGTATCATCAAGGTCAAATAAAATGTTGCGCTTTTATCTCCATAACCAGGCTCAGTAGCTTCCCTACGAAGAAGAAAACAAAAGATAAGACTAGGGATCTCATAAGAATATTAAGAAACAACAAGGTAGGGTGGAAGAGAGATGACTTACAGATCAAACATAATGAAGTCCAATACTTTCTTCAATTTCTCTGGAGTCACCTTAGCTAATGGGTCATAAGAGTCCTTGGAGACAATTTTACTGATACGCTTCACTGTTGAACTCCCTACATATGGCCAAATTTGAGTCTTTGTCAGTTGGGTTTTTCTTATGTGTTTAGGCTCGTCAGTACTTGAAGCTATTGCTTCCAACGCCTGTCTACACTTTGCACTTTTCTGCCATTGTAGATGATCCTCCCAACTCTCTGTGGAAATTGATTGGTCATTCAGCTGTGGGATAAGAAATGGCTTCTCGATCTTCACTTGTATCACTGGCACCGTCTTCTTATTCTTCTCTTTTTTTACGACGCGTTGTATTGGTAATCCATCAACTGAACTTTTTTTTCTCTGAACCATCGATGACTGTCAAGTATAAAAAAACCAGTTAGTATTTTGTACATAAAAAACAGAAGATAACAATGTAAACATACCATCGTGTTGCTACAAGCGTCGACTTCTTCATGTTCTTTGGATTTGTCGGCATTGGATGTAACTTTTTCATCATCCTTCCCTTTAAGAACATTTATGTCTTCCTCTAGTATGGACATCTTGTTCTTCAACTCAGTCTCAAAGAAAGACATTCTAGCATCCATCTGAGCTTCTACAGAAGCTTCCAATGTCTTAATAACCCTTTCAGCTACACTAACATCCATGGTTTCTACTCTTCCAGTCAAGTTGTTAACAGCCTCAAGCAACTTTTGATGGGCATATCAGTATGCGATTCTTCCTTCAAAACTCACAAACCAAAACAATTTAGATACTTAAAAAATGAAAATATTCAATAACATGTAAGTACATACCATTTCTGGAGCAGTTTCTTTCTCCTTCTTTCGTTTTGTGGAGGGGCTCTCATCCACTCTATCGAGGACACTAGGTGCACTAACATGATTTTTTCTCTTGTGGCACTTGGTAATTGGCACTACATCTCAAAACTTGTTGTTTAGCTGATCACTCAGAATGTCAACTATCATATTATCTAAATCATTAGGTGGTTTATCTTCCCCCCATTTCGGATATCTATCCTCCATTGCCTTTACAATCATATGTCTTACACGAATCTGCATTGTAAAGTACAACAATAAGTAAGCAGAAAAAAATAAGACAGTTATCATGATATACCTTCTGATATTTTTTCTCTTCTTGTGCACAAAAGTTTGGAGAAGTTGATACGCTGACGAGAACCATGCCATGACAGAAGCGGAACCTCAGCTTCCAAAATTCGATGCCCATATATCTCTTAAACCTGGCACAGACTTTTATATCCAAATTAGCAATGCATGAACACAACTACATAGTGTGTAACTCTTCTTTCCTTCGTCGAATGTCACCATTTTAATGGAATCCACAAGGCTGGTAAATGCTACACGACCCCATGGATAGCGCTCAAAATCTACTGGAACCATCACCCTTTTTGCAAAATGCAGAGGTATTCTACTATTGCTTGAAATTCCTAATATCCCAATGGATAGTAGACACAACAAGCCAACCATTACACGCTTCTCTCTAGGCCAGTTTCTGATGATCGGAAAAAGGGCTTGAAGTTCATTCAACTTGGGTCCTTCAGAAATTGGAACATTCATCTCCACCCAAAAATCTTCATGAGCCACATCCCACTGTTCTTGCGTGTCAAAGGGATTACAATTTAGCCCTGTAATATCTGCAAACTCATACAGAGAGAACCTCAGTGGCTGGTCTTCTATCAAAGACCACATTTCATGACTGCTCTCAGTCGCCAACTGATTCACCAGAAAATTATGAACATGTTTTGCAGACCAAGTATAATCCAACTCCTTCAGTTTGAGAATCACGCCTACAGCTGAGTCTCTCAAGTCAGGCCAAACGTCTTCGCCGATATTCTCTTGCATCGTTTGAATGTTTGCGAGAAAACAACTGTGGTTCATACTCCTTTGTTCAATAGGCGTTTTACCAATCTGATAAAGCTGCGGAGGATACTTCCTATTACCCGAAGATGATGCCATTCCTTCAAAAAAAAGCAAACACAAAGTTAATAAATATCATTCATCAGATTATTGCAGAGGTATTCTACTATGAAAAATGGAACAATAATAATTATACAACATAAAAAAAGCAATAAAAAGTGTCATTTTCTGTGATAATTAGAAACATAAATCGTGAAGTAACAAAGCGTGATTATTTAACTGCTAAGAGAAAATCGGATTTAGGGGTTTCAATCAAACAATGAGAAAAGTTTATCTACAAACCAAAAAAAAAAAAGAGAAATCGAATTTCAATTTGGGAATTAGGGTTTTCATATTTCAACTTCCAATCAATCCATGTATGATAACAACAACTTCAAGTAACACAAAAAAATTAAAAAAAAATAAAAACCAGTTTCTCAGTTTGTCGGAAATGAAATTGGGAATTAGGGTTATCCAAATTTAACATGTTATCAAAGAAAATAAGTGTAGAACAAGGCCTTCGTCATCTCTTTCACCTCAAGAAGAATATATTTCGCACTTACCGTTGGGGATTTTTTCGAGATTGAGGCGGCTGTGACTCAAATCATCGGAGCTAGGGTTCAGAGTTCTGAGACTGATAGGGACGACGCCGACGTGGGAGGAGGCAACGAATTGCACGGCGGCTGCGAGTGAGAACCAGTTTTTGGAGATGGACGTTTGATGTGTGGAGAAGAAGATTTAAGATTGTGAAGGTGAGAAGTCTGGACAAAGACTTTCGTTTTTTTTAGAATATTATACAATTTCTTTAAATTAATCAATGGAAATTTTGTTAATTCTAAGACAAAAGCTGGTTTTCTGGTACTTTGGTTACCCACGTGATCTAGCAGAGTAATTAAGAAAGTTTATGAATTAGTATAATAATTACATGTAAAATGTGAATCATTATAGGTGATTTCTCTTTAAATATTTGAACTAAAACATAATCTTGTGCCTAACATAGTGAGAATAAAGTATGATAGTAAAATCATATAATTTTGGTAAATTTTTCTTTTGACTTTCTTAATCGTATGATATGAAAAATTATTCCGAATACAAACCAGACCAAGATTTTTCATAAATTTTCCTAACTAAAGAGTGGACTAACAAGATTTAGTTGATTATAACCGAAGAATAAAGTTACTTCTTTACTTTTTCAAAAAAGTTACAAACTGAAAAGTTCTGAATAACCGAACCAAATTACATGATATTTTGCTAGGTTTTAGTGTAATTTATTTTTTTTGAAAAAAAAAAAGTTTATTCTGGATATAATAAAGACACAGATATAATCCGCGAGTGAAAGAAGATATAGTCTATAGATAGATTATATTCTGGGTATTCAAATGGGTCGAAAACAATAACCCATATCCGTGTGACCACAAAGTAAAATATAATGTAGTGTCTTCGAATCGGGATTGTCCCGAAACTCGTCTACCACAACACCACCGGCTTGTGGTCGAAGTTTTAGTGTAATTTTGAAAATTCAAAATGTGAAAGAAATAGTCTCGAAGAAAAAAACAAGTATTAAAAGTCGAAAAGAGATCAACAATACAAGTCACAGATATTTATCGTCTAGTGGCCATAGTTGGCAATCACCCCTACTGTCCGTCCATTGTTATGGTTGAATGGACAAGAAATAATAATCAAAACTAATAGTAATTTATAATATCCATTAAACAAATCAATTTGTTGGAGAGGAAGAAAGTGGGTCCTAGGGTTTTGGTAACTCATGCGTCTCGCGCTGTCGTTTTCATTTCCAACGAAGAAGTCTCCTCTCTACAGACGGAGCCAGTGAGAGCGTTACTCTACCACCCTCATTGCCTCTTTCGATTACATCTCTCTTCTTTATAGATACAGCAACTGGACGGGTGCGTTTTCAGAGTGAATCGAGCAGAGAAAGAAGGAGATGGGGAAGTCAAAGTGTTTCATGGACATTAGCATTGGAGGCGAGCTTGAAGGGAGAATCATCATCGAGCTCTACGACGACGTCGTACCCAAAACCGCCGAGAATTTCCGTTCGCTTTGCACCGGCGAGAAAGGCACCGGCCCCAACACCGTCGTCCCTCTCCACTACAAGGTCTCTCCCTCTCTTGAAATAATGAACAAAAATGGAGAAAGCAATTGTACTATAGAATATTTGTTGACCCATCTTTTGAAGTATAAAGTTGGTTCCTTTGTTTCAGGGGAGTCGATTCCATCGTGTTATCAAGGGGTTTATGATTCAAGGTGGGGACATATCAGCTAACGATGGTACTGGTGGTGAATCTATCTATGGGTTGAAGTTTGAAGATGAGAACTTTGAGCTGAAACATGAGAGGAAAGGGATGCTCTCTATGGCTAACTCTGGCCCCAACACTAATGGCTCTCAGTTTTTCATCACCACCACTCGCACTTCTCATCTTGATGGGAAACATGTCGTCTTTGGAAGGGTTAACAAAGGAATGGGGGTGGTTCGTTCCATTGAGCATGTTTCAACGGAGGAAAATGCTTGTCCTTCTCAGGATGTTGTGATTCATGACTGTGGGGAGATTCCTGAGGGTGAAGATGATGGGATATGTAACTTTTTCAAGGACGGTGATGTGTTCCCTGACTGGCCTATTGATCTTAATCAAAGCCCTGTTGAGTTGTCTTGGTGGATGGAGACTGTTGATTCTGTCAAGGCTAGTGGGAACGAGTACTTTAAGGTGTGCTTTCCTCAAAAACATTTTTCTTTTCAATTGGATTATGGTTTGTATGCTTCACATTTTCATTTCTCTGAATCCTGCTTTACGGACTTAATCTACTTTTTTAGAAACAAGACTACAAGATGGCTCTTAGAAAGTACCGCAAGGCTTTGCGCTATCTGGATATTTGCTGGGAGAAAGATGGCATTGATCAAGGTAGTTCATCATTTTACTCTATATATGTTTCCATTTGCTGCATCTCAGGGGATATTGATACTGTGGCATACGAGTGTCTCTCACTTAATCTCTCTACTTGTGATCTTGCAGAGACGAGCACTGCCTTGCGTAAGACAAAGTCGCAGATCTTCACTAACAGTGCTGTAAGTCCATGCTTTTAACATTCCTTGTTAAATCTTTTTTTTGTGAGTGAAATTCATGTAAACTATCTATGTGTGTGTTTAAGTACCCTACGAAGCATAAGATATTGTGATGGTTGCTTACAACACAAACTCTTTATCTTCGTTCTCTGTCAGTTTTATCCTTAGTGGAGAGCTGTATCAAATGATCGGGACTGGAAAATTACCATAAACAAAATGTTTAAGCTGACGACACTGTTGACGCTCCATGTATGTTTATTTTTTGGAAATAGCTTGGGTAGGTTGTCCTAGAGATATGCTAAACGTAAACTGATTTAATCAATGCTCGTATTTGATCAAAAAAAAAAAATCAATGTTCGTATAAATATGAATACATTTATAAAGCTTGAATTACTTTTGCTTTTGTTACCCTCTATAGCTGATTTTATTGTACTGGTGTCTCATCTATTTGTATCGTTACTGGCTCCTGTGGCAGGCCTGTAAACTGAAATTTGGGGATGCGAAGGGAGCATTGTTGGACACTGAATTTGCTATGCGTGATGAAGATAACAATGTCAAAGCATTATTTCGACAGGGCCAGGTACTTAAAAAAGTGTATTCTATAATCTAGGCCTATGTATAAGTGTAACATGTGTTATAGATTTCTCTTGAGATGAATATGACTGTCCTTTGTGGTAATATTAGGCATACATGGCTCTCAATAATATCGATGCTGCTGCTGAAAGCCTTGAGAAAGCTCTTCAATTCGAACCTAACGATGGTAAGTCGTTTACCAAGAATCTTTTTGTGTGTGTTCGTACTTATTGATGTATTGGTAGATTAGACGCCTAAATATATTAGGGAAGATTTTAACTAGCTCTCCATGATACCTGATGTTTATTTTCAGCTGGGCTCAAGAAAGAATATGCTGCTGTAATGAAAAAGGTAAGTACGCGTACAAACAATCCAATGATGTGTCAATGTTTTGGAGTGACTTGACTAACTTGATATATATAACATGAGTTCTATATATATGTCTGCAGATTGCCATTAGAGACAATAAAGAGAAAAAGCAGTACCGCAAAATGTTTGGATAGAATGGTCTGATACATTTAGGGGTAAGTCTATCTTAATCAATTTGTAATTGTTGCATTGTCTTGTAAGTTACCAGAAACTGTTGTTTTGTTGAAAACGTATGATGTTTTACGCTT